AATTAGGACTAATTGTCACGCCTCTCCTTGTCCTTGAAGGATAAGAAAACTCTCCCCCTATAAATAGGAGGAGAGGTGTGGCAATAATATAGATGAAAATGGGAGAGAAAATTCAACACATATAAAATAAAAGGGGCACACGGCTCAAAATAAAAAGCGAGGAGAAAATTTATTTTCTTCCTAACCCTAGCATGCCACTTTTCTTCTCTCTCTCTTTGGGTTGTCATAAAATTACCCTAATTAGATTTCTAAAGGAAACACTAAACAAGTTAAAAAAGGTGGAGCTAACACTCTACCAATTTTGAGTGTTTCTTTTATGGGAGCTTGGATCTGGATGGATTATCGACGGAGGTCGGACACTTGGATGGCTTTTTTCTATAAATGTTTAAATCTGCATAACAAGAGGTAATTTTCTATTCATCACTTTAATTCATGAATATATAGTTAGTTGATTCAACAACATGATTCTGGGCCCTTTTTTATTTTATTATATATTTTCATAGGATGTATGTTCCTTCGGGTAGAAGTAGGAGATAACACCTAGGTTCGAATTGAAGGATCATGCATCCTATGGAGGTGTAGAATAAATATAAATTTTCCTCCACCTAAAAGGTTCGGGATCATGCCATTGAATCAACTAATTATATATATACATTAATTAAAGCAATGTATAGAGAATTACCTCTTGTAGCACGAATCTAAATTCTTTAGTCGAAAATTCGTCCAAATTTCTAGCCTCTATTGATAATTCACGCGAGTCCAAGCACCCACAAATAAACACTTAAAATTGATAGAGTACTAGCTTCATTTTTTATTTATTTATTTATGTAGTGTTTCTTATAGAAATCTAATCTTGACAATTTTACAATAACCCAAGAGAAGAGAGAGAGGGTGGCGTGCTAGGGTTTTTGGAAAAACTATTATTTTTTCTTTCTTGGTTGTGTGCCTTCACCCTTTTATTCTTTAATAGCTGAATTCTCTCTCTCTCAAAAATTCTTTTTTTATGCCGCTTCTCTTCTCTTATTATACGGGAAGAGTTTCTTTATCCTCTAAGGAGAAGGAGAGGGGCGACAAATAAGTCCTAATTAAACTTATGATTGTTGATTTCTAATCCTTCAAGGATTAGGAGTTATTTTATATGTGGGCTTTTAATCTTAATCTTTAAAACATTCATTCTTATCCAATAAGGTTGATGTTTATCCTTAAAATATTATCCTTATCTAATACGGTTGATGTTTTTCCACTCACCAAAATATTTTAAGGCTCTTTTAATTAAATCTATTGGGCCAAAACTATTTTGGCTCAATTAATTTATTTGGACTACCCAAATAAATAATCTTAGATAATTTTAAACGACCCATATTAGGAAACAATTTTTTAAAATACCCTTTAAATTAAATTAGGAAACTCATTTTCATTTTAGGTTGTTTACTTCCAAATTTGGAACCAACTTCCAAATAAAAAAGCCGATTTCTAAAATAGAAAACTTTCTATTTTAGAAAACTTCATTTAAGGAAACTTTTCATTTTAGGAAAATTTCCATTTTTAGAAACTTTCAATTTTTGAAAACCTTTTCCAAAATAGGAAACCTTCGAATTGAAAATTTTTCTAATTTCTTTGCTTCTCTTTAATCATGTGAATACTTAAATTTATATGTATGACTTAATAAGCTCCTAGATATGTTGGCAATATATCAAGAATAAAAAACTCATTTTTTATCTCTTGATACATAAATCAAAATTGACATCTAGCAAGGCATCATGACTAGCCAATTCTCTAAGATGATTAATTAATCTATTATTACCTTTCATGAGTATGGTTACCACATAATTTAGTCCTCATGTCAACTTATCACAAGTGTGGTCTTGAACTTAGTTATAAGTCTTGTTCGATTATGATTATATAAGTTTTTTTAAAATTTTTAAATATCTTAGCTCCTAGATTAAACCAACTATACTTTATTGATGTACTCCTACTATGATCATAGATTTCTTAAATAGACTTTCATCGAAGTGCAATATGATAACTCCTTTAGCATGCAAGGAATGACATGTCCTATCTTAGTCATACACTTACCTCTATTAGATTTCGAGTGCACCTAATAAATCACCCATGTGCAAACTCTTTACTTGGATCCATTGAAACGAGTGTCAAAATGCATAAATCCTCTAATGAGATAACCATGATGACTTTAAGTCTAAGCACCACTTGTACCCATCTCCTATGAGATTCCCATAGACTAAACTAAATGGGTTATCATTGAAAGTCAAGTTTAGTGATATATTCTCTAACATAAATCACCTAAGTGATTGCTTTGACATCATCATATCAATAGGTGTGAGATCTCCTACTGCTATCATATAGCTCGAGCATAGCATTCATAAGTTTAATCGTATATAATCAATGTCCATTCTTGACAATGCTTGTGACTTGGGTCATTTAATGATATTATTGATGTGCATTAATGTTTATCTCATATCTTTCGATCAATCACTAATGCAAATGCATATTATAACGACTTCTATCTAATTCTACTTGAATCAATAAACATAAAACATAAGAATTAATAAAAAAAAATTTATTATATTAAAATAAATGATGTAATAATAGAATAACTCAAACTCATCCAAAAATGATTGGATCTTAAGCACCTACACTCATACGGATTTACGGGAGGAAGGGGAGAATAAGGTATCGATGGCTCTAAAAGGATGGATAACAAGCTTAGTTAATTGGATTTGGGGTTTTAGGGGTTCAAATAGGGAACCAATTGAAACCTAATGTTCTTGATTTTGGAATGTAAGTGAGAAAATTTAGGGATTTGGTGAGAGAGTTAAAAAAAAAAAAAAGATTAAGGGTGATTAACAACCTAATAACCACGGATCAAGAGAGGAAGATGAAGATTTGAGGTTTAATTTGGGGAAGAATAGATAACTCATCTATCTTTCAAGGTTTGAAAGGAAGAGAAGAGATTCGGGGATTTTTCTACGAAAAGGGCTTTGAAGGTCGATCTAAGGAATAAATTGTTTCATTTTTTTTTTTAATTTATGTTTAAAACTTGGATTGAAGAAGGATTTAAGAGACTTAGGGTTCTAGCATGTGAAGGGAGAGAAATAAGGTAGACAGATTAGAGTTGTAGGCTAGAAGGATTAGAGTAGGGGAAATCTTAGGGTTTTGGGGGAAAGGTGAATGAGAGAATTTAAGGAATGGGTCTCGTTTTCCTAGGTAAAAAGACATAGAGAGATGAAAAAAAGGAAGAAATCGAGTGGAAGAAGAAAGAAGGAGAAAAGAGAAAAAGATAGTGGCTCGGCCAAATGGGTCGAGGGCCCACCGACCCAAAAAAAAAAAACCAATGCCCTAATTTTAGCCCTTTTTTTCAAATAAATTGACCTTGAATTTCTTTTATGTATGTGTATTTATTTTTCTACTTCATTGAGATTTAATTTTTTGAACTTTCCTTGAATTCGTTTAGTTAATGTTTAATTTTAGGATTTATTTCAATAATTAAATTAAGTAAGTAATAGGTGGATGAATTGTCGAGTCTCCTAATTTTTAGGGATTGATGACGATTTCTCATCAACAAAAAAAAATACAAAAAGGAAAAAGAAAGAAATGTTAGGGGGAAAAAAAGGAGAAATGCTAGGGAAAGTATTTTAAAAAAGCAAAAAAAAGAAAAAAAAACATAGAAAACACTAGGAAAAAAAATTAATAAAAAACATGGAAAATACTATAAAAAAATTAACAAAGTCTCATATTTAATAGTGATTGATGTTCACTCAAATCAATCACATTTAGTAATTAGGTTGTTCTACAATATACCGATTATGTCGAGACTTTAATTAGATCCAAAGTTGAATTGAAGAGACGTCCGATAGAGGGGTTCGATGGTTGGTTCAACGAGAAGCCACAAACAAAAATAAATTAATTAATTAATTTGGCCTAGATTATAAACTTGAAAATTGATTCAGAAATATTTGACAAAAATAAAACTTTTAAGATATAAACTTTTAGAATTAAACAAAGCATAGTACCTTTCTTAGATAATGGTGTTTTTAAGTGATTGATATCTTTCCAAAAGCATAACCAACTCATTATCCTAGAATCTCTTAACCAAGTATCCATTTTAGGTTTCTAGTTTCTTTAATATTGAGTGATGACTCTAAAATTAATAAATAACTCACATTCCTAAAATAAACAAATTTTCAATTTTTCTTTCAAATAATAAATAAATTTTCGAGAGTTCAGTCAAAATTGGATAGCGACATAGGGTAACACACCTTTATCCCTAATGCTTTTATAGCACAATGTTAAAAAATCAGTTTGGTACTTTAATTTTACAAGATGCTATCAAGTTCTTAATTGAATTCTTAAAAAATCCAATATTTAGGATGCATATTATTGATTTGTTGAAAGTTTAACAGTACGAAATATTATTATTTTATATGTTGTAATTTTACTTGCAATTCAAGTGAGTAGTAATCAAGGATAAAATATTTATCAATATAAAAATATGTTATCTTCCATTGAATATTATATTTTTTTAATTTTATTTTTCGTCTCATCGATTTAGAGTTCAGCTTGTTTTCTAAGGTACAACTAAATATCAAAAGATAATCTATTTTTTTCAGAAATATATATATTTTAGAATTCGCTTTGGTGTAAAAAAACAGAGCCTTTATCAGACACACATTTAAAGTTTGAAACCTAGGATGCACCGACGTCTTATTGACCTCAGCTTGCTGTATTCTCTAAAATACTGTCGGCGGCCCAAACCATTACTCAGAAGAATAGTCGATATAAATATGATGTAGTCTCTAAAGTAGAACCCTAAAAATATATAGGTACTAAGAGCCCTTTCCATGCTCAACGAGTCGATATGCTTTTTGCTGTTTTAGTGTGAAACAATATATGTGATTCCAGCTAATTCCATTTGTTTTTTTTAAAAAAAAAAATTCAGAACAAGTGGGATTAGAGGAATCATATGTAATGTTTTTACTCACATCGTACGATTTCTGGGGATTAGAGGAATCATAGCTAATACGGATAGCTTTTGTTGCAGATCTGCTGTCGATACTCACATCGTACGATTTCTGGATTTCTAGGTACGAGAATTTCTTGTCATACGGATAGCTTTGTTGCAGATCTGCTGGCGATGGATGCTAATCTTGTTTTGAAAATTTTTGTTGTTGTAAGGAAGGATTATTTTTATCTTTTTTGGAGGAAGGAAGGATTATATATTTTTCGGGATTGAATTCCATAAAATCAGAAGTGTTTGAGTTAGTTGATAGTTTCTGGGAATCATAGCTTAGATTTATCCTGGGGAATCATATGTAATGTCTTTACTCACATCGTACGATTTCTCTTGATTAGAGGAATTATATGTAATGTTACATTATACGATTTCTGGATTTCTGAAATTTTGTTTTTGGTAAAGAAAGATTATATTTTTTGCGGGATTGAATTCCATAAAATCTGAGTTAGTTATAGTTTATTTGCTTAGATTTATTCTAATTTTCCTAATTTCTATAGATCTGAATCCCAATAATGTTGTTATTATGAAAAATTGATGGTGATCGAATGATTTTTTTTCTTTTTTCTTTTTATGATTCTCTTTGTCCAGTTGTTGATGGAACTTAATCTACAGTACTTTGAGCGTCTTTTAATTTTCTTTGATTTGTGTTGGATAAAGTTTAGTTGAGTATTTGTCTTGGAATATGTGGAGTGTGTCTGATATAATATAAGATGGCACTGCATTTGTTGGCATTACATCATCTATTGTTCGTATACAATAATCTCTTGAATGTTTTCATTTATCAGAAGTTGATCAACCTTGATTTGAAACAAACAATTGTCTTAGCACTGTTCTTGATCGCGTAGAATTGTGGAGTCGCTTTTATATCATAATTATTTTATGGATATGAATAGTCTCTTAAAAATGTAACTTACTATTACCAAATTTTCAGGAGAAACATACTCTCTTCTTACCAAGAGTTGTTCGACGCAAAGAATGTGATATTCCAATACGCTTCAAAAAGTTTAAGGATTAAGCACTCTGCTGATGCCTCTGCTCTGTAAATGTCACCCTCCTCTGTAACCGAACGACAGTAATGTTGTTCCCGATTTGATATCTTAGCAGCAGGTTGCAGCCATTGATCAAGAATCTTGTGACAATTACTCCAATAAATCCCGATTTGCCTTCAATGTTTGCATTCTAAGGAAATTCTTTGGCTTTCACAAGTGTGGTCGTTTTGGCTCTCATACGTTTTTCACATTTTTCTCTAAATATTTTTTGTTTGAAATTAGAACTTTTTATTAGATTTTTGTCAATTCAAATGGTATGAACACAAATGATTTGCACATTGTTGAGGTTTTAATTTTTCGACAGGTTAAATGATATATTTATGAATATTTTTTGTCCTTCAAATTTTGTTTTTTTTTTCTCAATTTTAAAATATTATTTAATTGTTAACTTTTTAGCGGTTAGATAAAAAAAAATAAAATAAAAAAATTTAGTTTTGATGTAAAAAAACAAAACATGTATTGCTGCGACCCTACCACCAAAACACCATAAGTGTCATCATATTCTTCACATCATTATTTACCGAACATAAATATAAAATAGCAAGCAAAAGAAGTGCCCTTTAAGTGATGATAGTTTTTCTCATCAATTTACAAATTCTTGGTGATTTTATTTGAATTGATTATTTGAACAGAATTGAAAAATAATTGGTTGGAATTTCATTCATCTACCGAATTCGAATCCATCTAAAATCTCAAAAATTCTAAAATTGAACTTTTTTTTTTAATCAAAACGCTATATATAAAATATTTGAGTTTTCCAAAATGAGTTCAGATTTGAAAAAATAAATAAATAATCATGGCTCTTATTCCTTTCTAGACTGCAGTACAGTCGGTTGCCTTGGATAATCTAATAATTCAAAATCAGAAAAGGGTTTTGTTGAAAACTTATTGCTATTAAAATGAAAATAGCCCAGTAGTGGAGAAGGGTTGTAATAAATTGATGGAAGCAGAAACTAGTATCGTAATTATAATTATAAAAAGAAGAAGAGAGAACAAAGAAGGTAATGAAAATTTTATAATCATATAGGTCCTTATTGCCTGGATTGGCATTGCATATAGAGTAAGAAAGAGCTAAGAGAAAATGAAAATAAAAATAAAAATAAAAAGCCCTCGTAAACGTCCTGGGTTTGTATCAATTCAGCAAATCAGATCCTACTACAAAAATTGGTCAATATTTACTTATGTTTGTAAAATGTTGTTAATGCAATTCAGTTGAACTAGATCGCAATAAAGATGAATACCAATTAGAATTTTCGAAAATATTAAAGAAATAAAAAAAATCAATTTTTTCAGAAAGTAAAAAAACTTCAAAAATGTTTATAGAAAAAAAATAACACTTAAAACAATAAATTTAAAACATTTTTTTAAAAAAAATCAACAATACTCAATCATTAACATTTTTAAGAAAAACACTTAACTTTGGAAAATTTTTAAGACATAAAAAACCTATACTTTTAAGAAAAATATATTTTTAAATATACATCCATTAAAATATTTAAAAATTTTCAAGAAATTTAAAGGAAAAAGATAAAATTTTTCCTAAATTTTTGAGAATTTGTTTTCTTTAAAATTTTAAAGTCCCCCCCCCCCCCAAAAAAAAAAGGCTGGGAATTTTAATTTTACATTTCAAAAACATATTTAGAAAATTTTAGTTGAGAAAAATCGAAAAAAAAAATATTTCTTCGACATTTTAAAAAATCATTTTTTTTTTCCAAAATCAAAATATTTCTTAACTTCCTAAACAATTTCAAAATTTATAATGGTTTAAATTTTCGATTTTTTATCCAAGCATTTTAAATTGTTTTATTCCTTCAAAATCTTCAAAAGTTTATTTCAAAAGAAAAATGGTCTAATTTCTTAAACCTTTTTTTAACATTTAATGATAGAGTATTATCGGAAAAAAAATAAATTTTACTTTCAAAATAATTAATGTTTTTACCTAAATTTTTTCAAAATTGTTATTTAAAAAATAATAATGTTTTTTTTTTTCTAAAACATGTTAATTGGTAATTATCTTGTAATTTTGTCCAAATGGGTTGAATTTACAAAATTTTATACACATGGGATATATAAATTCTGACCAAATCTTTTTCATATTTATCCACCGAATTGGTACAAATACAATGGCAATTTTGAGAGTTTTTCCATATAAAAAATAAAAAATAAAACAGGTAAAATAATTTTATGTTCCTCTTTATAAATCTGAGGGGACGGGGGCTTATCAGATTGAGCAAGCGTCGACTACAATTATGCACTTGTTTTCGCATTTATTGCCCTTGCCCTTGGTTCAATTATGCACATTCATCCGATTTAATGAACTTTATTATCCTTTAAATTCTGGACTGATAATTTATGCAAATTTTAATTATATAGCACGCTGCAACATCAATGCCATAATTGCTCAACAAATTAATTACCTGCGCAATCATACTATAAAAATGAGGGAAATATTTGAAGGATCACAGAAAAAAAAAAAAAAAAAAAAAAAAAACAACAACAATGGTTGGTCCAAAGTTGATGAGTGCCCTCAAGATTAAGCAGGCTGCTATTACAGCACTTGTTTTCGCATTGTTCATCAACATTACCATTCACCATTTTTCTGTTGCAGCCAATAAAGAACATATTCTATTTGAATTCACAGAATGGCATGTGTATGTCGTCAACGGACTCAGCAATTGTAGCCAGTTGCTGTCTGTTCATTGCAGGTCGAAAGACAATGATCTTGGCGTCCACTATCTTTCAACGGGGGCCAATTTCACATGGAGTTTTAGAGAGAATTTCTTTCAGAGAACACTTTTTTGGTGTAATGTGAGCAAGGATGGTACTCATGCTGTGTTCAAAGTGTTTTGGCATGACGTTTATCTCTTCTACAAATGCAGGTGGAAGCACTGTTTTTGGACTGCAAAAGATGATGGCATATACATAAAAGATCTTGACCATGAAGGTTTAGACGAGCTTTATTATGGTTGGGAACCAGGGCAGGAAAACTGAATATATTTCAAAAACGTCAATGTTAATTTTTAGGATCACTTTGCTCCTAAATGTTCATGATTCATATATTTATTTGTAGCTCCTAATAACAGCTCTCAATTTCATGTTGCTCCCGAAGTTCTTGTCTGGATATTTTTCAAAAATTGAAGACATTGAAGTCTTAAAACAAGTGCTAAAAGTGGTATATTGCAACGTTACAAGTGGTGTAGCCAGAAAATTTTTTCAACGCTTTCAAAATCTTCTCAAATTTTAGAAAATTAAATTCAAAATAAAATTGTCAAATTGTAAAATAAAATAAAGAATTATGAACTTATGTAATTAAATTCATTTTATTAGGTTGAAAGGAAAAAAAAACGGAGTGAATAAATAATATTGGAGGAATTTTCAATAAAAACGAGGTATTTCGTAGTTTTTGGTTTTTGATGAAGTAAAAAATAATTAATTTTCTTTGTTAAATGTCAGAAAAATTTTGGTGGTTTTGTTTTAAAGACACAGTATTTGGCTCCTCCCATTAATTTTTCCAATAATTTGATGATTCAAATCACGATCAACATTACATTTGTACCCGTCAATGGGTGCTTACAATGTGTTTTTCATTTATATGAGTGCTTGTGTGGTTATTAAATTATATTGCAAAACCTGATTATTGATTTAAATTTAATAAATAAATTTTCTAAAACATTGTTTTTTAATATATATTTATATATAGTGAGTATTTTTGGGATCAACTCTCACTTTAACAAATATTAAGTTCACTATTTCTTGAAATAAATTAATACTAGAACACGATTAATTTTTGTCTAACCACTATAATTCCTTTAAGACTAAATGAACCAAAATCGAATATCATTAAAGAATAATTATGATTAATTATCATAAATAGTAAGAATTGAACATTATTTTAATTTTGATCAAGACAACCCTTTACGGCTAAATCACATTCCTTGGTAGTTATTGTAATTTGCAAACATTACTTATTATGATATATATATCTGGAGTGGGGGCTAGAGGCCTTGATTTCTTGCACTTTTTTATTTTTGTAATCAAATGCTAATAAAAGTGATTTAGCATTTTACTCGATATTGAACACACTTGGATCCAGAGTGGGAGCTAATATTATTTGCTGTTAGAAGCATTATTTATTTATTTATTTTGCACTTCTTGACTTCGTAATTAAATGCTCATAAATATGATTTGGCCTTTTCCGGGAATGCTGTTCTTTTTTGTTTCATATTTTTGCCAAATGTTGAACATACTTGGATTCGGAGTGGGAGTTAGATTCTTTACAATTAACAACATCATCAATTTCTGGTTCTTGTTTGACCTTGCAACAGGATGCTAATAAATTTGGTTTGGTCATTTTACCAAATTTTAATCTCACCACAAAATATGCATGCATGTATGTTTGGAAGAACTTTTCCTTTTTTTAAAAAAAAAAAACACCCCAAGATGTAGAATTAGCCTATAAAAGCAGATATGGCAAAGAACATATACATTGTACAACGCAACCTTGAGAAATCTCTGTGAAAGAAAAATGAAGCCAAACAAAATCTGCCATTTTCAACTCTATATCTTCTTGCTAGCCTTGGCCTTTGTCTTGGGTGACTGCGCCATAGGTTTCATGCGTAAATACCATGTACGGATCCACAATGGTCTTCGAGACAAAACCATGGACGTCCACTGTAAATCGAAGGACGATGACCTTGGAAGACACACTCTCTCATCAAACAAGACATATGAATTTAGCTTCAGAGCCAATTATTTTCGCTCTACACTCTTCTTCTGTAATCTTTGGTATCAGAATCACCATGTGGTTTTCGATGCCTTCACGACTGATGTAACATTGCTCGACAAGTGTGGTGGTAATAGTGACGCAACTAATTGCAACTGGAAAGGGCAAGAAGATGGAGTTTATCTGCTCAACACTGCTAGCAAGAAATGGAATTTCATGTATCATTGGGGGCCAAAGCCATAAAAATAAAAAGGATTTGGGAGATCAAATCTTGTTTTATCTTTAATTAGTTATATCCTATGAATAAAAAACAATAGCGTTTTTCTAATGTGTCGTGCTTTCAATACTCTCTCTTTTCATTTCCTTCTTCTTCTTCTTTTTTTCCATGCAATTCATTTTAATTATATTTGATGAAGAAATTTTATAATACTCAAAGAGTAATTAGTGACATGTACAGTAGTTATTTCATGAATCTACTTGGAGGAGAGAAATAGATACATAAAATTATATCTAAATTCATTAAAAATAATAAAAAGATTTTCACATTCGTTAAATTTTTTTAATTTTCTCTCTCCTATTTCTATTTTCTTTTTTTTTTCTATTGCTCTCCTCCAAGTGAATCCATGAAATAACTATTGTACGTATAATTAGTTAATCCTTGAGTATTATAAAATTTCTCATATTTAATGCATCCGCAATCAAAGTAAATTATGAATTAGTTTTTTTAGTTTCGAGAAATTGAATTAATTTTTTTTTTTTTGGTTTTAAAAACTAATTTTTATTTATTTATTGGAGGTCCGCAAGCCTTTAGACTATACAATGAGACGTAATCCTCTTTCGTTACATAACTATCAAAAAAATTCTCGAACCTTGTTTCAAGGAAGAAACTAATTGGATACATAACCACTAATTAAACTAAGCTTGCTTGAGTAAAAAAAATATTATTATTTAGCACTGTATTTTAAATTTTCTTATAACCTAATTTCTTTACATATAAATTAGTCATTTTAGTTTTGAAAAATAAATTAATTAGTCTTTTTTGTTTCAAAAATTAATTATTTATTCTTTATATTTTTAAATTTTCTTATAGTTTAATTATTTTTATTTTTTAATTTATTTTGATTTTTTTATTTGAAAAATAGAAAAAAGAAAAAAATATATGAAAAGATGACATTTTTTAAATAAAATAATATTTTAAATATGGTCACCACTAATTAAGAAACTAAATAATTAGTTTTTAAAACAAACTAATAAATTAAATTTTAAAAAAAAGATAAAAAAAAAAGAGACTAAGTTATAATTTATTCCTTATAATCAATTAGGTACCAATTATAGAATTAGGTCATGTTAAAGTCAAGTTCTCTTCAATGAAGTGGTAAGGGTTTGATTAATCTTGAAATTCTAATTAAAAGTACAAACACCCACATTTGAACCTCCTTGTCTTTAAATATAACACTACAAGAAATCTATCATTTAGTGGAGAAAATTGATGCGAACCCAAAGAAATCTTGAAAAGCCAAATTAGATTAAAAGGATCTCGGATGCCACACTCTAAAAAGAAAAGAAAATGAGTGATAAGTTACTCAAATGCCACAAAAATTGAATTCGACTCTTGATAAATTCCGAATTCAATTCTACAAAGAACTAAGGTGTGAATTTTTTCACAAAAGTTGATTTGATTCAAAGATTGATTAAAACAAAAATTACATATTGTTTTACCTACATAAGCTATTAGAAATTCAGAAAGACAAAGTTGAATTAAATTGCATAGGATCTAACGATCGAAATTTTTGGATCTAACAAATCTTTGAAAAGTCATTTTGAAATTGAAAGAAAACTCCTTGGATTTAGCAGCTATAGTTATAGACTAAAACTTGATGAATTTTGACTTGAAAATAATACCGACTTTGGAAGGGCTTGGAAGTTGGCTAATTAAGTAGTTGCAACTTAATAATCTTAGTCCAAAATATCAAAACAAGAAGATTCGATCAAATTGGACTTTAAGTCTAAAAATTTCAACCCAATAGCGTGGAGCAAATTCACAAGGCCCAACCGATGTTTTTCGAGCCCAAAGATGAGAAATCAGCCCATTGACATTGAATAAGCCCATTTAAAAACTCATGGAATTTCTTGACCCTAACCCATATGATTAGACCCACTAGAATGGCCAATGGATCGGCCTTCTCAAGCCCAAGCCCACAACCAGATTGTGAGTCACTTGGAAGCTCATGGACAATCTCTTGATTAGCATTTGGATTCTCATCAAAAATTAGCGATGGAACATATTTCATCTCTACTTTGTGATGGATTTATGATGAAATAGCGACAAAATTATTTTGATATGGATTTGAGATGAAATAGCAATGGAATATTAGCATCGGATTAATTTCGGTCTCTAATTTGCAACCATATAAAATTAGCAAAGAAATGACAACAATTTAGAAATGAAAATTAGCAAGTGAATTTAAATTTCATCACCGAAATACAATTTAATTAAACTAAAAATTATTGAGAAAATAAAACAACGGAATTAGCAATGAAATTTGCTTTCCGTTGCTAATTACCGAAGGATTAGAGATAGAATTTACTTTTCATCGCTAATGTGTACCATACCCAATTTATGAAAAGATTTCAAAAATAAAACAAGAGGAATAGCGATAGAAAATACAATCTGTCACTCAAGAAATATGAAATTACAATGGAAAACAATAGAAAATGAAATGATTGTTTATCGGATCTTTAGCCATGGACACTTTCTTCCCTCGCTATTAGTGATGAAAATGTGTCGATTGCTAAAATAGAAACACTCTCTTCTTTTCCATTTTTCTTTTCTCTCTTTCTCCTCCTCCTCTTGCAGTCGACGAGTGCCCAAACCTGATTCGACCACTCAAGGCAACGTAATTTCCTCCCTAACCCCCACCAATTATCATAGTGCTCTTCTCTCCCCAAAAGCCAAGCGTTTCACCCATGTAATCCATCGGTTTTCCTCCCCCATTGTTAGTTCTCTCTCTACTTTTTTTTTCCAATTACATTACCTATTTATATTAATTTTTAGGTTAGTTTTGATTAATTATTTATTTTATTTTTATTTTTATTACTTTTATGTTAATTAAAATAATTAATCTAAATTAATTAGTGTTAATCTAGTTAGGTAACTTTTCAATTAGGTTTAATATAAATTAGTTATGAGTTGATTAATTAGAGTGAATTTTTTAAGTTACATTGACTTTAAAATTGGGTTAATTAGGCTAAATATAGGGTTAATTATGATTAATTTTAATTAGTTGTTAGTTGATTAATTAGGTTTATTTAAATTAGGTTTATAATAATTATGTTAATTTTTAGGATTTTTATGTTAATTAAAATACTTAATCCTCATAAATTAGTGTCAATATAGTTAGGTTATTTTCAATTAGGTTTAATATAAATTAGCTACAAGTTGATTAATTAGGTTAATTTAATTAGGGTGAATTTTTTAAGTTAAATTATATTTAAATTTGTGTTAATTATGCTAAATATAAGGTTAATTATGATTAATTTCAATTAGTTGTTAGTGATTAATTAGTTTTATTTAAATTAGGTTTATAATAATTAGGTTAATTTTTAGGATTTTTATGTTAATTAAAATAATTAGTCCTCATAAATTAGTGTCAATATAGTTAGGTTATTTTCAATTAGGTTTAATATAAATTAGCTACGAGTTGATTAATTAGGTTAATTTAATTAGGATGAATTTTTTAAGTTAAATTGAATTTAAATTTAGGTTAATTAGGTTAAATATTGGTTAATTATGATTGATTTCAATTAGTTGTTAGTTGATTAATTAGGTTTGTTTGAATTAGGTTTATAATAACTATGTTAATTTTTAGTATTTTTATGTTAATCAAAATAATTAATCCTCATAAATTCGTGTTAATATATTTAGGTTATTTCCAATTAGGTTTAATATAAATTAGTTATAAGTTGATTAATTAGGCTAATTTAATTAGGTTAATTTTTTTAAGTTAAATTAAATTTAAATTTGGGCTAATTAGGTTAAATTTGGGTTAATTACGTTAAATATAAGGTTAATTAGGATTAATTTCAATTAGTTTTTAGTTGATTAATTAGGTTTATTTAAATTAGATTTATAATAATTACGTTAATTTTTAGGATTTTTATGTTAATTAAAAAAATTAATCCTCATAAATTAGTGTTAATATAGTTAGGTTATTTTCAATTAGATTTAATATAAATTAGTTATGAGCTCATTAATTAGGTTAATTTAATTAGGGTGAATTTTTATAAGTTAAATTGGATTTTAATTGGGGTTAATTAGAGTTAAATTATGGTTGTTAATGCCTAAATTTTGCTCCCCTTTAATTTTTTTTGTTTTGTTATTATGAAAATACCAAAAAAAAAGGGTAAAAACAAAAATGGAAACAAAAAAAAATGGAAAAAGAGAAAATCGAAAAATGAAAAAATTAGTTAGGATAATTAGTTTAGGTTAATTAAAAAAAAAAAAAAAAGAGGGAGGGGGTTAATTGAAGAAGTGAAAAGTTTAGAGGTGATAAAAATTGCAATTGAAGGTCCAATCAAAAAAATCAAAAATTTTGTCCTTCAATTAAAACAATAAGGGGGCACGATTGGGACAAATTAAAATAAAAAGTCTCAATTAGTTACAATGGGGGCTCAAATTAAAACAAAAAAGTAAAATCGACCTCAAATTAATGCACGAGAAGAAACCAAGGACCAAACTGATATTTAGCCCACCCCATGTATTTTTTATACCTAACACTATTCATCCTCACAAAAAAAGGAAGCAGCCGCTAGACAAGAAAAAAACGCAGAAAAGCCCCCACACACGCCCAGCTGCTCGCCTTGCCCACGACCCACAAACGCCAAGCTTTCTCTCACGCCAAACACACACCGACCACGGCCTTCACTCCCTCTCACCTACAACTCTCCAAAGCACTCTCATCCATAGCCCCCACAAGCAGCCCTCTCTCACGCCACAAGCATAACACCATAGCGAGCCCTCTCTCACGCGCCAACGGCCCTCATTTCGACTTGAAACACAATTCCCATTTTGGCCAGCCTTTCTCTCACCTAAAATATCACCAAAATAGCCACTAAAATGCCCCTAATCCAACTTCAAGATAGCCCCAAGAAACCCCCAAAATTATCCCTAAAAACAGCCCCAAAACAGACCTGAAAAACCCACCAAAAACGCTCCAAAATCAACCCCGAAACAGCCCCAACAA